GGTCCCGCACCGGCAGCCCGTGACACCGTTGTGAGCGACCTGGCCAGTTCCTGGGAGGGCCGTGGTGGTTGTGTTCACAGCCCTGCTGTGGCTGCAGCATCCTGAAGAGCCTGATTAAACCCCGACCCGCAGCAGCCTCGCGTCTGAGCATCCTGCCACGGTCAGCTGCTGGTCGGGCTGAGGAGGACTGCGATTAGTGCGGCATAAACGCCACTAAAAGCATTAATAAAAGAGCTTTTGTGCTCCGCTGGCGTCCCCAGCGTGCCTGGCTGGGGACAGTGCTACGGGAAAGGGGTGGAAATCCAGCCCAGGAGCCTGGGCAGCTCACAGCCCTGGGGGGAATCTGGCCCCCCACCCGTTCGGGGGAAACGGCGGGTGTTTCCCCTGTGATTTGGTGTCTCTGGGAGATGTTTTGAACAGCTGCGGGGGGGGGAGCGTTCCCTGCCCGTGCCCTCAGGAGGGCTCACACATCCCCAGGGCTCTGCCCCCATGCAGGGACGGGGCTGGTAGGAGTCAGATCCCCCTGAGCCGAGGCAGCCCAGGAGCTCACCTGGGCTTTTGTGCTGAGCCCGGCTGCCATGAGCTGCAGATAAAAGCGGGAATGGGAGAGACCTGGGGAAGAGCCAACCTCAGCAGGGGTGAACGTGAGCAGACGGTGCCTGAGATGGTCTCAGGGAGGAGGGGGGTGCTCTGAAACCCAGAAAACCCATTCAAGCACAGAGAACTTTCCCTTTCTGCCCATTTCTTTCTTTTTTTCCCTCTTTCCTTTCCCTCCTGCCAGCTCCAGACAACGGCCTGCAGGAGCCAGAGGGCGAGTGCAGCAGCCTGGGGCTGACGCCCAGCGCCGAGGAGTCGCCTGCGGAGCTGTCGGGCAGCGTCGCTCCGCTGGGCTCCCCGCCGGCCTCAGAGCTGTCGGAGGGCACCTCGGACGCCACCAGCATGGCCTCCTCGGCTACGCAGGCAGCGGAGGTGCAGGCAGCTGAGTCGGGCAGCAGCGTCAGCTCAGCCCCCGAGAGCGAGAAGGAGGGGAAGAAGAGCAAACAGCACCTGTACTGTCCCACCTGCAAAGTGACCGTCAACTCCCTGTCCCAGCTGGAGGCTCACAACACCGGTAAGGGCATCGCCTGCGCGGGGGACGGGTGGATGGGCCCCTCGCAGCTCCGTCCTGGGCTCCGTGCAAAGCCCCGCCATACCCCATCACCAAACAGCCTTGCAGGGAAACGGCGAGCGTTAATGAATGTTGCTTTAATTAAAAAGGGTTAATTAAGGTGGCTTGCAAAGATAAGTGGTGGTGTTTTACCTGTGCTGCAGCTTATGAAGTGAATTTTAGCAAGGTCAAATGCTCTCTTATTGTTCATGTCTCTTAATTAGACATTTTCAGATACATTTAATCAAGTGATTGGAGGCTACTTTATATTCCATTGCAGTTTGGCTTTAAGCTGATAACAACCTGAGTGCCAGTGCCTCTTTCAGACCCAGGATAATCCTTCCAAAAGCAGCTTGGTGGTTTGGGCTCGTGGTTGTTTCGAGAAGCCCCTTGGGAATCTAACGAGCTTCGGAGCTCAGCAGCAAGTGATGGCTCATCGGCTGTGCGTGGCAGCCCCCTCGGGGCAGGCAGGCCTCTGGGGCTGGCCAGGGTCCCCCTGCAGCCTGGGGGTTGCTGGAGGGGAGGAGGGGGAGGCCGGACCCCCCCGGGGCGGTGGCGGGCAGCAGCAGCCGTGGTGTGGGGGACCCCCAGCGGGGTCTGCGGTCTCTGCAGCGCCAGCTCCAGCCTTGCCCCTTTCTCTGGAGGATGCTAAACAGGGACGGGCACCCCAGTTTTAAGGAAAGGGCCTCCTCTTCCCCAGTTCGGCAAGAACTGGGAACCAGTTCCCCCAGCCCCAGCTGCCTCCCGGGGCAGCAGCAGCAGCCGTGCACAAGGGTCAGCTCAGGACACCGCTGCAGCTTAGCTGCAAACGTGTCCTTTTGCTTTTGTCAGCTACAGTTACAAATTTAGGAGCTGATTTGGGGAAAAAGAACAAACAAACAAACAAACAAAATGTTTGCAGGCTTGCGTTCCTCCGTGGCTGTCACACGGACTCGGGCTCCTTGCTTATCGCCTTAAAAAATAGAATGAATTAGCAGTGGCTTAAATTACTTGCCCACCCCCACCCTGCCATCCCCGTGCTGGCAGGGGCAGGACAGAGCGCCCTGTCCCCAGGTGTGCGGGGATTTCGAGTTCCTCCTTCCCTGCCTCCTGTAACCCTGCTGAGCTATTCCTGGCTCTGCGACCGAATCGTCTCTGACCTTGGGCACAGCTCAGATGCTGCAGCACGGCGGGCGATGCGTGCCCAGCTCTGCAGACTCTGCTAACACCCGGGGACAGGCGACAGGCTCCAGCACACGCTTAAAATAGCAGTTTCTCCAAAGGTCTGGCACATGGAGGGGGGTGGTCTCCGGGAAGCTGAGCATTTCTGGTCTGCTTGCGAAGCGCAGCTGGCCACGAGAGCGTGGCAGGGTTTGGGAATGGGCTGCCACATCCCTGGCAAGAGTCCGGACTTGCCAGGCAGCTCCTTGTCCCGTCTGCCTGCAAACGCTGCCGGGCAGAGGGAGGTGGTGGGACCAGGGTTCCAAGGGAGCAGGGCTGCACAGCCCTGCAGGTGAGTTGCCCGGAGGGCATCCGTCCTGCTGCCACGGCACTCGGCACGGCGCTGGGTTTGTTTGCAAAGTCAGTGTTTGCTGAGTGCCCCCTCTGCCACCCAGGTGCCAAGCACAAGTCGATGCTGGAAGGTCACAGCACCCAGATGCGGCGAGGCCGAGGCAAGCTCCTCTCCCGGGCAGGGCACAAGTCCAAGCGGATTGGCAACAAGGGCAGCATCAACATCCAGAACAAGGCGTTTCACTGCCAAGTGTGCGAGATCTACGTGAACTCGGAGACCCAGCTCAAACAGGTGATAATGCCAGGCCTGGCACGTACCTGTTCCCTGGGAATGCAGGGGCACCGGGCGCGGGCGTGCAGACCTGCAGACCCCTCTCCGCAGGCACTGGGGCCTTGGGGGGTGGGTACCGGACAGTCCCCTGTGAGAAGGTGATGGGCATCCCCCGAGGACCTGAGCCGTGCGGTGCCGTGGGTCTGCCCTCGCTGTCCTGGCTCCGGGTGATCCGGCTGTTTTCCTCTCCCAGCACATGAGCAGCCGGAGGCACAAAGACAGGCTGGCGGGGAAGCCGCCCAAGCCCAAGTACAGCCCCTATAACAAGCTGCAGAAGAACGCTGCCCTCGCAGTGAGTATTCTCAAGGTATCTGTCTCCCTGCAAATTACCCACCCGGTTTGCTCTCCGAAACATCGTTTGCCATGTTAGCCATCTCTTGCAATAAGAGACACAGGGGCTGCTTTTCTTAAAGCCTCGGTTCCCATGATCACATCTAACCTGCTCCCCTCGGGGAGGGCAGGCTGTAGTGGTGAGAGGGGTTTCGTGTCTTTATTCGTGGGAAGGAAAGCACGGGAATAACGTGTGAGTCCTCTGGCAGCAGCATTCACAACTGCAGCATTTGTGATTGTTCCATCTGTTGCACGATTTCTGAAGGGGAGAGCTGTGATGGTTGGGTGCCTGAGGCTGGCACGGCTCAGTTAAACCAAGTCGAAGCATTTTGTTTGCAGAGACACAAGCCTCCCCGTCTAGTTTAGCAGAGAGTTTGGCAGCAAATGTCATCGCAGGGCACCAGAGGAAAGCACTGATGCAGGGAACAGCCCAGCCGTTGCAAAAGCCAGGGCAGGTCTCTGGGTCGGCATGATGGGGCTGAGGATCTCCCCGGGGAGGTCATCGCGACTGGGGCATCCCTGCGTGCGCTGACCCATAAGCAGCCGAGCTGAGGGACCGGGGCTGTGGAATGGAGTGCGTGTTGGGTCGGGGCCAGGGGCTGCGTTTCCTGCAGAGACGTGCTGAAAACTCAGCTGAAAGCGAACGTGGGCAGGGGCTGATGCGGGGCTGCCTGTCCGGCCCAGGGAGCTGGGGCTGGGGGCTCTCCTGCAGCCGGGTGCCTCACGGTGTCTCCTCCTTCCTCCCTGCAGTCCAAGCTGGCTTTGCAGAAGCATCTCACCAAAACCCTGGCAACCCGCTTCCTGCCGAGCCCGCTCACCGCAGCCGCCGTCTGCGCCATGCCTGGCCCCCTCGCCCTGAGACCAGCCGCTGCCACCACCCTCTTCCAAGCCCCGATCCTCGGACCAGCCCTTTTCCGAACGCCACCAGCCCACGTCCGCACCACGCCGGGCCCCATCGTCTTTGCGCCCTACTAGAGCCGCTCACCTGCCAAAGGTCCGTCCGCCGTGGACCGGGCTGTGCCACGGGGGCTGCACGGTGCGGGGCGGCGCTCCCGGGCAGGCTGCTCTTGTGGCTGGTGGGAAACCATAGTCGTAGACATCAACCCCGGCTTCTCCTTTGCTTTGAGCGGGCTCCTGCCGGAGCAAGATGCCCCAGCAGAGCCCGGCCAGCCCCGCCGTGCATCCCCGCCGCTCCTCCCGCCCGTGCCGGTCCTGTGCTCAGCAGAGCCCATCACACGGCTGCGTGGCACAGGGGAAAGGATGGTGCCAGAGTCACCAGGACCCTCTTGTGTCTCGTGGGCAGGGGCTGCCGGTCCTTGGCCTCCTGGTTTCTTGTTCATCACCCTCCCAGTTACCAGACTGGAAGAAGAGGAGCTGGCTGGTCCCTGGGGGAAGGAGCATCCTTCTGGCCGGCCGGTCCCTGCCAGCCCAGCGGGAAGGGAACTGCAAGGGGAGTCTCAGCCCAGCTTATACTGGGAGAAACGACCCCAGCACAAGCGGAAAGTCGGCGGTTCCCCTCTGGGACTGGGCTGGCTGTGCCCTCGCCAGCCCCGCACTTGCCCATGCTGGCTGGGGGTTTCCATGCTGCCCACCAGCCCCCTACACCCCACAACCCCCTATGTCCCACCAGCCAAAGAGCCCCCGCTGTGGCGGGCACCGGCCACACTGACCGCATCTTCACTCCGAAAGCAATAGCCGAAGCCCAGGGCCGGCGCCTCCTCCCTCCAAAAGCACACTGCCCCTGCCCTGGCCCCCAAGAAGCACACAACTTGGGCATGCGGCTGGAGACAGGCTCCGCTCACGCCCAGCGAGGACAGGAGAGCCAGGCTGCCCAGTCCGGGCTCTCCGAGGAGGTGACCCTGTGCTCGGCGCCAGCTGTTTGCCTCTGTCCTACCCGCGGTGGACAGCCCTGCCCCTACCTCCCGGGAGATGCTGTGAGGCTGAGTGAATGTCACTAAAGCACTTTTGGTTTTCCAGTGAAAGGCAATGCTGCTGCTTGCCTGCTGGCCCGCCGCCGTGCCCGGCCGTCCAACCCCATCCCCATTAGGAGCTTCCAGGGAGTTACTGATGACTCCCAAAAACAAAGGTGTCCCCAGCAGCCCAGACAATCGGGTACGAAGGAGCAGGCAGCACCTGAACCTACGCCTGGCGCTCTCCCTGTGATGCTCCCGTCGTAGCCTGCGGAAAGCCGGGCTCTGGAGGGACCCTGAAGCCGTAGCTCTGCTTTTCACTGTGCTCAGAAAGCCCAGCGATGACCTGGTCTGAAAACTGTAACCATGGCGCTCCGGGTTCCCAGCGTGCTGCTGTAAATAGAAATATGCAGGAAAGTTGCAACCCAAATGGACCTTACGCTGGAGTGACAACCCACCCCGATCTATGCAATCCAGGGGGAGCAGCTCGCCCACCGCATTTGCTGTCTGCATTTTACTTTGGTGCTCACGCTGTCTGTACAGCCAGGAGTGGTGGTCAGAGCAGAAAAAAGCAACGCAACACTTAGCTCTGTGCAGACGATTCCCTTCCCGTCCCCTGGCCCAGGGTGCTGGCTCGGAGACCTCTGCTGTGGCCCACGTTCGCTCCCAGCCCTTGGGAAGAGGCAGGTCGGTTTGTGCACCTGGGAATCCACATGCACAAGCACACACGTCCTACATCTTGGCTGTAAGCAACGCCTGGATTTCAGGAGGATTTTGCCCAGTGCGCTCCACTAATGCTCAGGACAGGGTCCTGGCAACGGGAGGTGAATGGGAACCGGCCAACAGGTAACTCACACAGCTGACATGCTTCTGCTTCCCAGAGCTGGCAGAAAGAGCTGGAGCCACGGGAGAGGGCAGGAATCCTGCACAGAGGGGACGGGGCGGCACAGAGCCCTACGCCTGCGTCTGGAGGGCCTGTTTCTCGCGCCATGGGCAGCACTGACCCACGGTGCCACTGCTGCGCTCCTGCTGCGGAGGACAGGAGTGCAAGGGAGCCCCTGGGTACGGATTCATCTGCTCAGGGCATCTCCTCTCCATCCCAGGGAAGGAGGGAAGTGGGGAGAGGGCACCAGGAGAAAAGCGAGCTTGTATGGAAGGCTGGGGGTAGAGACAACTGAAATGTCTTACAGTGGTGGTGGGAGATGTGGCTTGGAGAGCAGCTGAGGGAAGGCAGGCTCCCAGCAGCACTGGCTTTGGCAGGGACAGGGAGATGGTCCCACAGCCCAGGGGACACATGTAGCCTGGACCCCGCGTCCCACAGGACAGGAGCCTGCACTGGCTGGGGCCCCCGGGCGGCGGGAGGGACACAGCTCCGACAGCATCGCGGTGCCAAGCAGCCTGCGGTCAGACCAGCTCCAGCCCTCCCCCTGCTCATCTCACTGTGCTCTTCCCCAGGCCGCTGTGCCGGTCCCTCCCAGCCCTGGCCACAGCAGAGAAGGGCAGCGTGTCCCCTCCTGCAACATGCCCACCAGCCTTGGGACCGTGGGGAGCCGGGAGCAGCCGGCTGCAGCCGCGCTCCAGTCTGCAGGAGCCGCTTGGCACTGGTGGGTTGCTCCCCTGCATTTTGTTCTAAAAAGCCTGTGCTGGAGCCAGCAGGGGCTGCTCCTGTCACCCCTCTACCAGTGGAGTCCTAATACACTCCTACACTTGGCACTTTAATCCCTTGAAAGCCATTCCTTCTAATAACAATAATACTGCAACGAGCTGTGTAAGAACACACGCCCTCTACCGCATCCCCCCGCCTCCAGAAACCCTCCCTGCTCCTGTGCTATCCAAAGCATTTACTGCCTTTGACTTAGCAGATGCTGTACTAGGTAGTAGGGCATAGTCCATAGCGCTCAATAACGTGTGCCCCTCTGTAAATAACCTTGGAGTGATGTGAACCGTTTGATTCAAAAAAAACAAACAAAAACCCCCACAAAAATGGAATAAACAGACTCTAGGGACTTGGCCAGTACCCCTCCTGTAATGTTCATTGTATATTTTTTTGATGTACTATAACTGTTGGGAAAAAAAAAAAAAAGGAAAATATTTTGATAATCGAATCTCATCGCTTTATTGTGTTACTCAGTAAATAAAAGGAACAAGTATAAACAAGCCAGGGCTTTCTCATCATTCTTTTTTTTTTCCCCCTCAATCCAGACTAGCTGTAGGGAACACGTGTTGCTGGGCAGGACCGGGACACCTTTCCCTTGTCTTGTGGTGGTTCTGAGAGGGGGGTCAGCACTGTGATGGACGGGCAGTGAGAGCTGCCACAGCCCTAAGCATCAGGGTGTGCAGGCTAAGCACAGTCCCAGCTTCTCCAAGGTCATGACTGAGTCTGCACTCAGAGGAGGCTGCAGCCTGGTGGATGTGGGCACTTTGCCCTCAATGACAGCATCTTGCCCTGCTCTGCACTATGCATCCACTGGGGCAGGATGACTGAGTATTTCTGCAGGTAAAGGAGCAGCGGGCACTGCCAGGTAAGGGGCAATCTGCCAGGGAACACTGCAGCACCGCAGAGCCAGCTGGGGTAGGACAAGGGAGAGCTGCTCTGACAGTGGCTGGGCTGGAGGCAGGGCCAGCAAATGGGCTCTTCTCACATGGTATCAGTAAATATAAAACGGAGCAGCTGGAGAGAGAGAGGGAATTGTTTCCTCTGGCCTGGCTGTGCTCAGCCATGGAGCTGATCCCCACCTGCTGGGCGGCCCCCGCCCGTGGCCC